TGGAGGGCGCTCTGTCTCTCTCTCTCTCTCTGTTTTCATCTCTTCCTCCCTCCACATGACTCGGTGGATCAGAGAATCCTCCACTCGTCCGATGTTCTTCAAGACAAAACTAAAACGAGGCTCACAGCGTTTCACGGACACGCAGAGAGAAACCAAACAAAATGGAGGTTTAAGTGAACTGGTCCATCAGGAGAAACGTGTGGACACTGTGGGAGTCAGAGAGTACTCAGATAACCAGGGTAATCCGATTACTCACTGATTAAATCTGATTATTACTGTGTGTTTACAGCACAAGAGACACACCTGGAGACACGTGGCAGTGAATCAGAGGGTTTTTAGTAGGGGTGTGCAAAAATATTGAAATATCGATATATCGTATCTTTTAATGTGACGATACAGTATTGATATCATGGGCTGCTGTATCAATTTATCGCCAAGAGTATTTTTTGGTATATTTTACTCAATTATTTTGTTACAGCGCTACAATTGTTTTTACTTGTTCAGAGAAAGGAAACTCGTCTATGAGACACAGTTGACATATTCACTGTTTTGATGATTAAAATGTTTGTGTTTCATATAATTTTTTTTACAAGAACTGGTTTAAAAAAGACTTTTAGTATCACAGCCATGATTTAACCTTTATTTTTATTGAACCGTATTGAATCAATTTGAAATATATCATATCAAATAGAAAGTGCATTGTATCGAGATATGTATTCGTATCGTGGTCCATGTATCGAGATATGTATCGTATCGGCAACTTCTTAATGATACCAGCCCTAGTTTAGGTCTCTACCTAAACCCCAGCACCTGCTCCAGTCCTGAGTCAGTGCTAGTGCAGCCTCTGCAGCTCAAGGAGGGAATTCTGGAGGTTGTGATCTTCACATGAGACATGAACATAAACTGAGAATGAGACAAATACAGGACGTGTCTCTGTCTGCAGGTGAAGACTCTGGAGACACAGGGTCAGATGGGATTGTAATACATTTTTTTAAGCAGTAAGAGCACAGGACACATACAAAATAATTCTGCTTGTGGAAATTGTCTCATCTTATCCTGAGTAAATACCTATAAATATAATAAAGTCACCATAAAATAGGATCAAAATGCAACATTTTTTATATCTCACAATCATTTCACTTCATTTCAATTTTCAGTTTGACCAAGATACATTACAGACATAAGGGTTTGTACATGTTTATGTTTGGACCATTTCTGGTGCTCAAAAGGAGGAGGCTCAAGTTTAAGAAACATCATTATCATGTCCTACCCCAGCTGTTTGACTTAACACAAGACTGACACATACAGATATGTATACACACATACACACATATATACACACATATACACATATATACACACACACACACATATATATACACACACACACACACACACACATACATAACGTACATATGCATAAACACACACATACACACATATACACATACACATAAATATATACATACACACACACATATATACATACACACATACACACACACATATATACATACACACACACACATACACACCCCCACACACATATATACACACATACATACATACACACATACATACACACATACACATACATACATACATATACATATATACACACACACATACACGTACATATGCATAAACACACACATACATGAACAAATACATTTTCGCTTGTGGTTGTACAAAAATGTGGTAATAATAATGATAAAGAAGGCACTAAAGTTTATCGCTTTTGATCGTACAAAATAAACCACAGTGAGAATGAAAAATGTTTTTTTTTGGTATGTGGTCGTACAAACTAATAATGATATCAAAATAAAAGGTCATGTTAAAGAAAATGTTAAAGAAAAGCATGTGTTTAGTTCATAGTCGTGGTTTACATGTGAAGACAACTTATCTAGTCTTGTAGGTATTTCTGTAAGATTACATTTTTTATCTTGTTTTTTATTTAGCACCAAGTTAGTCCAAGGTTTTCTCAGATTAAATTCAGATTTTTTACAGTGAAAAGTTAAAGGAAATCCAGACACAGGTAGAACATGCAAACTCCAGGAACGCCAACCCCTCACCATGTTCAGCTGGACATAAAGCCACAGCATGTCCAGTTTTGGCAGCAATACTTGTACTCAGTTACAGTTACAGTACTAGCAATGTAACTGTACTTTTATGTGCAAATGTGACTAGTCTTCTCTTCTTTTCTCCTTCTTTAATGCATATTTTTTCTCGTCAAAAGCTGCAGAGGTATGAACAGTCAGAAATCAGATAACTCACATCAGATGACACTTGAGTAATCTGATAACTCCAGAAATCAGATTACAATGAGATTTTGGCATGTGATCTGTTTAATACTCTTAAAGATAAAACAAAAAATGAAACTGAAGGCACAGCTGCGAAAGAAACGAACCAAAATGGAGTGTTTAGTGAAATGGTTCCAGGAGGAGAGAGGCGCGTTGGTCCTGGACTCACTGGAGGTGGAAGTTGCCGAGTTGCAGCTCAGATTTCATCATTTGGTACAATCTAAAAATATGCATCTGCACTTTTCCAAATAACGACAGCACAAGTCACATGACCCCCTGTCTGTTTAAAGTGCACAATACACACTTCTGCAACAGTTTATGAACATGTGAGACTGGACACAGGTGAAGCTCCCTGAGGTCTGACTGACACCATGCATGTCTCTGATTGGCTCACCCACCTGTCAGTGTCAAAATAAGTATGACGGCTTATGAGGAAAAAAGAAAGAGAAAAGACATCACATGTGACTGGGAGATTTCTGCAGCATCACTGAGAGAAGCAGTGAAGCAGGATTAAACCAAGACTAAACCAAGACTAAACCAGGACTAAACCAGGACTAAACCAGGATTAAACCAGGACTAAACCAGGACTAAACCAGGACTAAACCAGGACTAAACCAGGACTAAACCAGGACTAAGGTAGAACTAAACCAGTACTGACCTTCTACTGAACCAGGACTAAACCAGGACTAAACCAGGATTAAACTAGGATTAAAATAGGACTGAACCAGGTCTAAACCAGAACTGAACCAGAACTAAATCAGGACTAAAATAGGACTGGACCAGGACTAAACCAGGGACTGAACCAGAGCTGAACCAGGACTAAAACAGGACTGAACCAGGACTAAACCAGGACTGAACTAGGACTAAATTTGTACTGAACCTATACTAAACCAGGACTGAACCTGGTCTGAACCAGGACTGAACCATGATGACCGTGCTGTAGATGTGTCCAGATGCGTTTGCAGACAGAGTTCAGGTTTGTAGAGTCAGAGTTCACTCATGACATCACAGCGTCCAGGTCGTGTCTGTATCTGTCTCGAGGTGTGACGGTGCAGAGGTGACCAGACTCAGACTCCTCCTTCAAGACTTCAGGTCATGTATCTCCAGCTGTGCAGAGTTACACGTAGAACAGAGAGTTGAATCTTTTCTTCTTGGCGGGGTCCTTCACGTTCACCTGACCGTACGGACACTACAGAGACAGAAAGAACAGGGAATATCTATAAATGTAAAAAAGAGCAATGATTTTTTAAATGCAACATGTTTCTATCCTGGATTCAATTCAGTTGTATCGACTGGAAATTCCCATATTGGCCCATCCCTACTTTTTATATTGTGTCTTTCATAAACTTGAGCACAATAAAAGCAGGAGGTTCTGAACACATGTAGATGCAAGAAATGTATGATTTTATTTGCAATCATGAGATGAATCTAATAATATATTCATTTATTAAGTTCTTGAAGTTTCTGAAGTGTCAAAATAGAGAAATTTGTCCTCTGCATTTGACCCATCCTTCAGTGGTTTCTGAGGCAACCTGTCAGACCAGGGACTGTCAGGACACGCAGCTTCAGAACTTGAGCTAGTCTTTGTCAGGATGTTATATGATAGTGGGAACTGGAGGCCCTAAAGGAAACCACCCAGACACAAGTAGAACATGTAAACTCCAACAACGCTAACCTCTCACCCAACATACTTTCCACATTTGGTTGGACTTAAAGCCACAGTATGTGAGATTTTGTCAAAAACTGTTTCTTTGGCTATAGGCAGAAAAAACAAACCAAACATCTATCTCGATAATGTTCAGAAGTATGGCTTTAATTTTCCATTTTCATGGAATCATGCAGGTGATGTGCCACCTTCAGAAAGTTACATGTTAAGTTAAGTACATGTTTAAGTACAAATATGGCAACGAAGCACTTCAGGTTCCGTTCAGACTGCAGCCTGAAGTGACCCAAATCCAATTTTTATTGCCCCTATGCTCCTGTATCTGATTTTTGAATGACAGTCTGAACGACACAGATTTGAGTTTTTCAAATGCGACCCACCTACACACTCACAAATGTACACAAATGTTCTTCTCGTCATACAAAAATTGTGTGTGAACTCTGTGTGAATGAATCAGAGAAGCACAAATCAATCCCTCCACTCTTGGGTGCGGCTCTGCACCCAAACATTTCTTTTCTACGGACATTGCTGCCACTACCACACAAACACCATGACCGAAAACCTCGATCTTCTCCTTCTCAATCTCCTCCTTAAAACAAATGTTCTGGCTCCGGTACGACAGCAGCTTTAGAATCTCCAGGTGCTCAATGCTGCGTCCATGTTTAGGCGACTTCCGTAAACACTGAGCACGCTCACTGTGTGTGACGTCGTCATGTCCTCTAATGCACATGTGGAACAATTTTGGGGTGTTTAAAGTTCACACTGGAGATCCCATACAAGTCACATTTAACTGAAAATGTGAACAATCTTGCAAAAAAAAATCAGATTTTACAAAAAAATATGAATTGAGCATTAACCCTGCAGTCTGAACGTAGTCTTAGTCTTGGTCTAGTCTTGGTGTAGAGATTTTATATTTATGTTTATTTATTAAATATGTGACCATGCACATTGATCAACACGTGTTAGTGCAGCATGTTGACTTTAATTAACTTTAATTTGCCCCATGATCCTTAAACGTTCAGGATAAACTAATCCTCCAGCTAACCTGACCTTTAACCTGTATCTTAGATCTGTAGAAATGACCCTTCTCTTAAGCTGGCCGCCCGCTGCTCCCAACATGTCACCTGCTCATATTATTTACCTCCGAGGACATTCAAAACACCACACGACCAAACAGCAGTGCGTGAACATGTGTTAGTGTGTTTAAAAGCGCGTGCTGCTTTAAAGCGGTCCACACACGCTCTGGTTTGGGGTCACTCACAATCTGGTGCTTACATGTCTGCAGGCGCTGCCACAGCACCTGCCTCGATCGCGGTGGGCATTCTCCGTGAAAACCCTGTACCCGCTGCCAGGGTCGACATACATCTGCTCGCCAGCCTGCAAAGACGCAACAAAGCAAATAATATTATCTGTATTTCATTAAAAAAAAACATACAAGGGCTGTATAGGTATTGAAGGAGACAGATTGCGTTGGGTCAGGGGAGGAGGAGAACACGCTGACCTCTGCAGCATTAAACAGATGTAAACAGAGCAACTTCTAATCTTAGCAATTAAATGCTGTCCCTTTTATGAGAGGGGGAAATATGTACGTTTACCTGCGCTGTGATGCTGCATACTGATGACTTTTTTCCACTACCATTACAAACAGGGGTGTGCAAAAACATTGAAATATTGATATTACGTACTGTTTAATGTGATGATACAGCATCGATATCATGGGCTGATGTATCGATATATCGCCAAGAGTATTTTTTTTTATATATTTTACCAAATTATTTTGTTACAACTACAGTTTTGTTGTTTTAGTGAAAGGAAACTCGTTTATGTGACACATTTGACATTTTCACTGTTTTGATGATTAAAATGTTTGTGTTTCATATGAACCTTGCACAAGATGTGGTTTAACAAAGACTTTTAGTACCACAGCCATGATTTTTTAGCATTTATTTTCATTGAACCGTTTCAAAACGATCTGAAATATATTGAATCAAAAGCCAACTGTATCAAGGTATGTATCGTAGCAGCAACTTGTTAATGATATCCAGCCCTAATTACAAATAAACTCAGGCCAAATGCTCTAAATCAGGGGTGTCAAATTCATTTTGGTCCGGCGGCCATATCCAATCTACTTTGATCCCAAAGTGGACAAAAAAAAACAAAAAAAACATAAACCTCAAAAATAGCAATAAGTTCAAATATTTGTGCAGAGAAACACAAATCCTATTACAAAAATCTTTTTTTAATTGATGAACTCTTTTTTTAAAATAAAATATTATAATATTATGAACAACCTGAAACTTTAAGAAAAATACAATTTCAACACAATATTTTAACATGAACTTGTCTGTAAACAGGAATAAGTCCATTTTTGTTGTAAAATCCTGCACTCGGCTCCACTTTTCTCATGTTGGACATTTTTCTGATGAGGGTGTCACGGTCAACAGTCAAAACGATCGAGCGTTTGGAAAGAGACAAGTCTTCATTTGTGCTGCTCTGGTGGGAGGGGCCACGTACAGAGACGCTGGAGACGCTGCTGTGATAAACACCACAGAAAAATAACAATATTTTAACAGAAAATATAATTTTAATATTTTAGTAGGAAATCAGCCGAGGGCCAGATGAAAGGTCTTGGAGGGCCGGATCTGGCCCCTGGGCCGTATGTTTGACACCCCTGCTCTAAATAAACTCTGTAAGTTGGCTATAAGCAATGTCCACACATGGTTAAATGGTTTGTGTTTGGACTATACATTCAGTTTCACAATTTAATCTGTTCATAATTTAAAGGTGCACTAGGTAAATTTTTGGTTGAGGGTCCATCACCTGCTCGTTTCTATGGAGATGTCTTTGCTCTGCCTGGAATGTTCCACAGTGACATTAAACAGCTCTATTTATTTATTCTATGTATTTATTTATATACATTTATTCAGCTCCAGGTGATTTTAGAGTTCAAAAATACCTAGAAAAACAGACATTGTGACTGTGAGCGGGGTCGCCTCTCCACAGATCTGACCTGTAACTTGGTCTGGTTTGGTCTCCATGAAGATAGAAAGGTTTAATGCCATACTGTGGAACATTCCAGTAAAGCATATGACGGACCCTTCACCAGAAAAGTTACACAATACACATTTGTTTTTTGACTGGGCTCATCGTTGATTATTACTGCACTGACTTACTGCTCAATATGTTTGATGGAACTATCATTTTTAGGGGTCAGTATTTATGAACTTTTTGTTATTTTTCTGTACTACGAAAACATTGAAGCTGTAGAGAGATGAACACATGACTATTATTAACTACTATCATTATAGACACAAACTAAGTACTTACATTCATTTATTGCAGTTAATGCTTTCAGCCATTTTGTACATTTACAATAGTATTTGAGGTAATCCTGCTTTAGGGTTATTGTGTAAGTAGTATACATTATTGTCTTTTATCATCTATATTTCTTCAGCAATATGTCGTACTTCAAAGTTTCATTTAGTGACCTAACAAAAGCAAATAATAAGAATGTATTTGTCTTACACAGCTCTTTTCCAGACGTTCAAAGTCACTTTACACTTTTGTGCATTATTCATTCACTCCACACTTGCCACAGATGCCCTGGGACAATCTGCACCACTGACCCATCATCAGACCCTCAACAACACTCACACACACACCACACTCAGTCTAGACAATGCGGGTGGTGTCTTGCTCAAGGACACAATGCCAATTTAGCCTCTGCTGCTCCACTGTGGTACCTGGTTTTCCCAGCGATCTCCCATCCAAATACAAACCAGACCCGGACCCTCTGAGCGTCTGAGGTTTGACGAGACTTTGACCAGGAGCTTCGGCCACAACATTTCATTGGTCATTTACCTTTTTAAATAAAGGAGAGGATTTAAACCTACGACTAAACCTGCCTGTAACTAAAGATATTCCCCAAACGTCGTGTGGTCTAAATGCAAACACCTCGTGAAAGTTAAAGACCCTGAACTTCTCGTCTGTCTCTGAGGAAAAGCACAAATGTCACCTCTCAGTCAGAGCCTCATGGACCCATGACTCAAGCTTTGAACAAGACTGAGGAGAGAGGGGGAGGAGGAGGAGGAGGAGAGAGGGGGAGGAGGAAGAGGAGAGAGGAAGAGAGAGGTGGGAAGAGAAGGAGGGAGAGGAGAAAAGAAGAGAAGAGAAGAGAGAAGAGGAGAGGAGGAAGAGGAGCAGAGAGGGATGAAGGTGAGGGAGAGGACAGGAAAGGAGGAAGAGGAGGAAGAGGAGGAGAGAGAGAGGAGGGAAGAGGAGGAAAGAGAGGAGAGAGGAAGGAGAGGAGGTGATAGAGGAGGGAAGAGGAGGTGGGAGAGAAGAGGAGAGGGGAGAGAAGAGGAGAGAGGGATTGAGGTAGAGGAGAGGAAGACGGAGGAGAGGAGGGAGGAGGAGGAAGGAGGGAGAAAAAGGTAGAAGAAGAAGGGAGGAGGAGAGAGGAAGAGGAGGGATAGAGGAAGAGAGGGAGGAGGAAAGGGGTAGGAGGTAGAGAGAAGTGAGGTAAAAGAAGAAGGGAGGAGGAGAGAGAGAGAAGGAGGGAGGCAGAAGAACAGGAGAGGAGGAAGAGAGAAGAGGAGGGGTCTGTGAGCAACACTGACTGGGGTTGTCTAAAGTATCGAAAATCTGATCATCATCGATACTAAAAAAATACAAAACTAGATTGTCATTTTTCACAGGTATCGATACTAAAACGTTCTAGTGACAGAACAGAGCAGAACCTTTCCTGAAGAAGGATCTGGAGCTGGATCAGAACAAGCAGAAGCTGTCTAAAGAAAGAGAGTATCACAATTGAGTATCAAGTCTATTCCTTAGTATCGAAATAGAGTTTGAAGTGTTGATATCGTCGGTGTCTATGGTGAGGCCTGTGAGCGGCAGTGACAGAGGAGAGAGGGGTGAGGAGGAGGAGGAGGAGGAGGAGGGAGAATACCCCGGGGCCCTTGGGTGACACGGGGCTGTCAGCTCACATGCCAGCCAGCGCCGGGCAGAGAGAGGGAGGCAGAGGGGGGCACAGCGGGTGAGGAGAGGGGGGCACGGCTGGTGCACAGGTCTGGTGGGACGTTCCAGGTTCCTCACCCACAGCTCTGGAGCACAATATTTACAGCAGGAACGCCTGGGGGGGACACTGTAAAAAAAAAAAAAAAAAAAAAAGGAAGAGCTACACAAGCGGAAATGACTCGAATTTGGAGGTGAAGCTGCCGATCTGCATCATCGGACCCTCAGAGCAACACCAACACAACACGATGCATTCACAGGGCGTCAGAAGTATCAAGAATCAGATTCTAATCAACACTACAGCCATTTATTATTTGACACTACTCATTTGAATACTACAAAAATGATTAAATATGACATTAACACGACAAAATGTTTTAGTGGCATTTCATCAAAACCAATATCATAAGATCTCCTGGTAAAAGGGATGTAACAATAACTGAAATATTGTGATATTACATCGTCAAAGTTCTCACAATAATATCGTGGACCATCACAATATATCGAATTACAAGTGTCTTTGCTTAAATGAAGAGTTATGATGCAGCAATAGCTAAAAAAACCACACAGAGGGAACTTCACAGACCAGGAGTCTCCCGCCTGTAGCTCAGGAGTTACCAGGAGCTCACCACCTCTTTCCAAGGAGCTCCACAAAGGATTTCGAAATTATATAATTGTGATGATGAAAAACATTTATTTGATTTAATTTTTTGTGTACACTTAAAGCAGATGTCACAGAGAAAAACAATTTGTAAAAAATATATAATAAAATATATATAATAGTAATAGTAATAATAGTAATAGTAGTAGTCGTAATAGTTATTGTAGTTATAGTAGTAGTTGTAGTTGTAGTAGTCGTAGTAGTAGTAGTAGTTGTAGTACTCGTAGTAGTAGTAGTAGTAGTAGTAGTAGTACTAGTAGTTGTAGCTGTAGTACTTGTAGCTGTAGTAGTTAGTAGTTGTAGTAATTGTAGTAGTAGTTGTACTAGTAGTTGTAGTAGTAGTAGTAGTAGTAGTTATTGTGTGTAGTAGTAGTAGTAGTAGTAGTTATAGTAGTTGTAATAGTAGTAGTTGTAGTAGTTATAGTAGTAATAGTAGTAGTTGTTGTAGTAGTAGTAGTACTTATAGTAGTTGTAATAGTAGTAGTTGTAATAGTAGTAGTTGTAGTAGTTATAGTAGTTGTTGTACTAGTAGTTGTTGTTGTAGTACTAGTAGTTGTAGTTGTAGTACTAGTACTGTAGTTGTAGTACTAGTAGTTGTTGTTGTAGTACTAGTAGTTGTTGTTGTAGTACTAGTAGTTGTTGTTGTAGTACTAGTAGTTGTTGTTAGTAGTAGTAGTAGTAGTAGTAGTAGTTGTAGTAATTGTAGTAGTAGTAGTAGTAGTTATAATAATAAAAAAAAATATACAAATAAGAATAAATAAAGTAATAAGTAAATTAAATAAATGAATATAGGGATAAGAGGAATATGATGATTATTATTATTATTATTATTATTTTAATAAGAAGAATTGATTTAATTCCATGCCTATTACTATTGTAAATGTATAATTGTGAAGTCCAACATTTTGCACTAATAAATGGACAGTGGTTTATGTTTCATTGGCATCTAACTGTACACAAAAACTCACCCTCTTTCTTATAATCATAAATATTTTTTGCAGCCGTTAACATGAGTAACTCTCTGGCCTTTTTGTTTTGTAAAGGAGCTCACCTCAGGAAAAAGGTTGGACACCCCTGACGTAGACCATGATACTTTACTCCATTTCAGTGCAGACTACAAGAAGAAATAACAGTTCTAACACTTTTAAGTCTTATTTTAAGGCATTTTAAGAGGAAAAAGTGGCATATTAACAGTTTTAGCTGTTTAACCTCCACAGAATATCACAATAAATATTGTGAGATATATATCATGAAAATATTGTACAGAGAGATTTGGATATTGTTACATCTCTAATCATGAGCTTTCCCACGACATCGCAATAAATATCGTACAGTGAGGTTCATACTGTGACGATATCGTGTCATGAGACTTGGATATTGTTTCACCCCTACTTGGTAACATAAAGAAAGTACTAATATTTTATTTTGTGTATGAATATTGTGTGAGTCTGCATGAGAATACTACAACACTGCACTACTACTGTTTTCAATAATGATCTTATCTAAAGGTGCATTTTCTGTTATCTTCTTGTCTTCATGGAGATGTTATGGCTTTGTCCAGAATGTTCTGTGGTAGAAATTAAACTTGTCTCAAGGGAGACATCTATAAGGGACATTACAGGTCAGATCTGTGGAGAATCATGACCCGTCCACTTGACATTTGTGCAGCAGTATGAGAGAAACCAGTCCAATTATTTAGAGGAAACGGTTTAAATATCAAATATCAAAAGTCAACACTGCCCTGGTTTAGTCCTAGTTAGATGATGGTTTAGTCCTGGTTTGGTCCTGGTTTGGTCCTGGTTTGGTCCTGGTTTGGTCCTGGTTTGGTCCTGGTTTAGTCCTGGTTCAGTCCTGTTCAGTAGTTTTACATGGATATTTTTGCAGTGCTCAGTCTGAATGTGAAGTCCAATATTTACAGCAGATCAGCCTGAAGGCCTCAGGCTCCTGACACCTCTCCACTCCTCTTTCATTCTCTCTCCCTCTTCATCCCCTCTCCTCCCCTCTCTCTCAGTTTCTCCCTTTCTCCCCCCTCCTCTTCTTCCTCACTCTCTCCCTCTCTATATCTCTTCTTCTCCCTCCTCCTCTCTCTCTCCCTAACTCTCCCTCCTTTTCCTACTCTCTCCCCTTCTTTTCTTCCTCCTCTTTCTCTGTCTCCCTTCTCCTCACCCCGTCTTCGTCCCGTCAGATTCAGAGGGCACATTAGGGGAGCAGCAGGGTGCGTCTCTGGAGGAGGTGACACAAACGATAAGAGTCTGTGATGTGACGAGACAAAGCGACAGTCAGAGGTGTTCAAATGGTCAAGAGAACTCCTGCGTACATTTACACTGCGTTTACTGCTCCTGGTTTAGTCCTGGTTTAGTCCTGGTTTAGTCCTGGTTTAGTCCTGGTTTGGTCCTGGTTTGGTCCTGGTTTGGTCCTGGTTTGGTCCTGGTTTGGTCCTGGTTTAGTCCTGGTTTAGTCCTGGTTTAGTCCTGGTTTAGTCCTGGTTTGGTCCTGGTTTGGTCCTGGTTTGGTCCTGGTTTGGTCCTGATGTGAACTTGGAACATTCATACTTGCACAAACACACATGTTGGATTTGCATGATTCTGTCTCCATGGAGACCAACAGGTGACGCAAGTCAGATCTGTGGAGAGGCGCTCTCACAATGTAACAGTTTTAAGCAATAAATATGCCTGTAACAAAATAAAGGTCAGTTTTAAGGATAGTTTTAATGTCATACTGTGGAACCTTCCAGGCAACGGCTTAAGCAGGTGGCAGCTCCCCATCAGAAAAGTTACATATTGCTTCTTTAACTGTACATGATGTCATCCAGCACGTAGAGCCTGCTGATGTCCCTCTATTACACGGGTGTCAAACATACGACCCGGGGTCTGGATCCGGCCCTCCAAGACCTTTAATCTGGCCCTCGGCTGATTTTCTACTCAAATATTTGAATTCTATTTTCTATTAAAATCTTGTTAATTTTCTGTGGTGTTTATCACAGCAGCGTCTCCAGTGTCTCTGTACGTGGCCCCTCCCACCAGAGCAGCACAAATGAAGACTTGTCTCTTTCCAAACGCTCTTAAAGGACGATCGTTTTGACTGTTGACCGTGACACCCTCATCAGAAAAATGTCCAACATGAGAAAAGTGGAGCCGAGTGCAGGATTTTACAACAAAAACTGACTTATTCCTATTTACATACAAGTTCATGTTAAAACTTTGTGTTGAAATTGTATTTTTCTTAAAGTTTCAGGTTGTTCATAATATTATAATATTTTGTAAAAGAAAAAGTTCATCAATAAAAAAAGATTTCTGTAATAGATTTCTGTTTCTCTGCACAAATATTTGAACTTATTGTTATTTTTGGGGTTTATATGACATGAGTTTTCCTTTGGGATCAAAGTAGATTGGATACGACCCCCGGATCAAAATGAGTTTGACACTCCTGATCTATTACATCTTGATCAAAAATATCAACAATTAAATCCACAAATTCAAAGTTTCATCATTTCATTGGTAACAAGGCCCAGTCTGTCGTCTCTTACACCTGCATATCCCACATCATTAAATAACAATTAAAGCCACTAATGAGTGTATGTAAATAAGAACTGTTCTATTTACAGAATCATTCATCACTTTTACAGGATGTGATGCATTTACATATTTCTATTGTCTCATCTGTAAGTACCTTATAGATCACACTAAGGACAGGTGCAGGTACAGACAGGGGCTATAAATTAATTTATAAATGAACATATTCTTAATAAAGTAGAAATGAAAGAAGTTCTTTAAAGGTGGAGCGAGAAACTTTTCTGGTGGAGGGTCCATCAAAAGCTTTTCACGATGGAGATGTTATCGTTTTATGCAGAAAGAACAAAAATGTGGCTGTTTGCTGCAGGTGTTCCAATCAGTAGGAGCAAATAGAGGTGCTCTTGGAAAAAAGGATCAAGACTCAAGACACAACGGATTCCAGGCAACTCCAAAACAGTAGAAAAAGTTAACACATCGCACGAGGAAATTTCCTCTTTCTACTGTTTTGGAGTGCCTGGAATCCGTTGTGTCTTGATGTTATCGTTTTGTCTGGAATGTTTCACAGTATGACATTAAACATTTCTATCTACATACAGACCAAACCAGACCAAGGAAAGAAATTGTACTTTTCTAGCTGAATATTTTGACTCTTCCTTGAGTAATATTTGTATTGAAGTAACAGTACTCTTACTTTAGTAAAGTTGTGGTTCCTTTTCCCACTGTGAGTGAATCTAAAGTGACAAAAGTTTTATGTAACAATATAAAATGATTTGAACATTTGTGTTTCTTTCAAATCTGATCGTTTGTCTCATTTTTGTGTCTGTCCTGAAATACCAGATTTTGTGACTTATTTCATGTTTTGCCCTCCACATTACATTAACGTTAAATTATAAATCAAAGAGTAACTGTCTGGACGTAACATCTAACTCTTTTTACTCTTACTTGAGTAGTACTTTTCCCAAATACTTTTATACTCTTACTTGAGTCAGTGGACCAATACTTAAAGGTGCATTGTGTAACTTGAAGGTCTGTTAAATGTTTTTCTCCATGGAAATGTAACTGCATTGTCTTCAATGTTTCACAGTATGGCATTAAACCTTTCTATCTTCATGGAGACCAAACCAGACCAAGTTACAGGTCAGATCTGTGGAGAGGCGACCCCGCTCACAGTCAGAATGTCTGTTTTTCTTGGTATTTTAGAGCTATAAAACCACCTGTAATTGAATAAAAGTAAAGTAGAGCTGTTTAATGTCACACTGTGGAACATTCCGGGCATCTCCACAGAAATAACACCAGAAAAGTTACACAATGCACCTTTAAAGACAGATTTATTGCGTTCCTGTCCCGTGTCTCACCTCACACGCCTGTCTGTGGAGCCTGTGAATGGTCATCTCCTCCTCGGTGAGGCTGTTCCCTCCGCTCGTCTCCTCCACTCCTCCCCCCGTGTCCTCTCCTCCCCCCGTCTGTCCTCCTCCCCTCGTGTCCTCTCCTCCACCGCCCGCCTCGCTCCCCTCTCCCCCCGGGTGGATCTGCGCGCCGCCGCTGCTCCGTCTCTCCTCCGACATGTTCCGTATCGACACCCCAACAAGTCGCTTCATCACCCGGACACGAAACAGAGTCGATACGTGGATAAAAGTGTCCCGGTGGCAGGTTTGGAGACGCATGACAACTTTACGCACGACCAAAACAAAGCGCCGTTACGCGTCAGGATCCCCGCGCCATCCTCTCCTCTGGCGCACACACACGTGGAGGTACTGGCGTGAATTCTGCGCCAAAATCACGTGTGTTTTCATTGATCGCGCTGCCCTTTGCTGTCGGTTTGCCAAAGCACATAAAAGTGTACTTCCTCAGTCCAAGTCATGTGACCCAAACAGTAACACAAAGTCCCGAGAGCGCCTCTTCTGTTCTAACGCTGGAACTAACAAACTGTAAGAAGCAGAGCCAAACGTTACTTTAAAATAATTAGGCTGTGTAACTTTTTGGTTGGGGGTCTGTCACCTGCTTGTTTCTATGGAGATATCATTGCTCTGTCTGGAATGTTCCATAGTGTGACATTAAACAGTTACTTTATGTTACTCTATTACAGGTGGTTTTATCGCTCAAAAATACCTCGAAAAACAGACATTCTGACTGAGCGGGGTGGCCTCTCCACAGATCTGACCTGTAACTGAGTTTGGTTTGGTCTCTATGAAGATAGAAAGGTTTAATGCCATACTGTGGAACATTCCAGACAAAGCAATAACATCTCCACCGTGAAAAGCTTTTGACAGACCCTCCACCAGAAAAGTTACACATTCCACCTTTCAAGAACTTCTTAATTTCTACTTTATTAAGAATATTGTTCATTTAAAATATTAGAGTAATTTATAGCATCTGCCTTTAATGCAGTAACATCTCCATGGAGAAAAACATTTAACGGACCCTCAAGTTACACAATGCACCTTTAAGTATTGGTCCACTGACTCAAGTAAGAGTATAAAAGTATCTGGGAAAAGTACTACTTAAGTAAGAGTAAAAAGAGATGCTACTTCCAGACAGTTACTCTTTGATTTATAATTTAAAGTGAATGTAATGAAGGGCAAAACATGAAATAAGTCACAAATTCTGGTATTTCAGGACAAACACAAAAATGAGACAAACGATCAGATTTGAAGGAGCTGCAAGAAACACAAAGTCACATAAACTTTTGTCACTTTAGACTCACTCACAGTGGGAAGAGGAACTGCAACTTTACTCAAGTAAGAGTACTCTTACTTCAACACAAATAGGCCTATTACTCAAGTAGAAGAAAAAAAATATTCAGCTAATTTCTTTAAAGGTCCAATATTATACAAAAGGCAATTTGTATAGCACAATTCGTGCACAAAGTAATACAAAGTGCTTTATGGAATAATAAATACATTCATTTATTTTTTAGAGAATAATAAATGCATTAAAATCACAATAAAAACAAATCAAAACATAAAGAATATTGAGAAATTAAGTTTTGTGAGCTTTAAATCATGTTAGAATGTTGTAACCTCCTCAAAAACATCTGGAGTTGTGTTTTGTTTCATTCCATTAATCCTTTATTATTGCCTCTCCAGAGCTCCAAATGCTCTGCTCCACCTTGTGATGTCATGAAGTGATAAGTTTTCAGGTGAACCACTCCTTTTAGCTTAAGTTCAGTGGAGATTCGCAATTCCAGGACTGAAATGATCCAAATGATTCTAGTGAAGGTGTGTGGAGTTTGAAAACACATTGCACTTCCTGTATCACCACACGACATCATGAGGTGGAAGAGAGTGTTTTCAGTGTGAGAGAAGAACTCAGCCTAAATGTGCAGGGTTTGTGTTTTAAACATGTGAATGAAACAAAACACAACTCCAGGTGTGTTTGTGTTGAGGAAACATTGGAACACGCAGTAGATCAGGAAAAGCGTCATACGGGATCTTTAATGTAAATGTGTGTGAGTTCTACCTCCTGCGATAAGACGGGAGTGTGCTGAAGACGAGAAAAACATCAGTAATAATAGATATGTTATATAGGAGTTGCTGGCACTAAAGGGACTGGCACTGCCCTAAAGACCAGTAAAACAAAACAAACATCCGTCGATAGGCACAGATCCATGTCCTGAAATATTCAACACACAGATATGGCTACGTTTTGGTAACACATCATTTATTCATGAAGACGGGCTTATGACTTCATAACACTAATGCTAAAGTCTTACAGAGCACATTTTGGACACGCACAGTTGTTTTATATTATTTTATTTATTCACTCTTCATGTGACTGGAAAGCTGCTGTATTTTTGTGTGGTCACAGCTGCCCTGGGGCGGAGAGACGGTTAAGACTGCCTGTCTGCATCCACAACACAACAGCACTTCTGACCACAATTTATCTCTCACTTACACACTTACTTACATATATACACACATACACACACTTACACACACTTTGTCACACATACTTACTTACATATATACACACATACACACACTTTGTCACACACAAATACACACACTTACTTACACATATACACACACTTACACACACTTTGTTACACACAAATACACACACTTACTTACATATATACACACATACACACATTTACACACAGTTACACACAAATACACACACTTACACACACACACACATATATATATATATATATATATATATATATATATATATATATATATATATATATATATATATATATATATATATACACACATACACACACTTACACACACTCTTTGTCACACACAAATACACATATATACACACATACACACACTTACTTACACACACAAATACACACACACTTAAACATATATACACACATATACACACAAATACACACATTTACCTATTCATACACACACACATTTACACACACACTTACACACATACACACACACACACACACATATACACTTACTTACACACACACACACACACACCACCCACATACACACATTTACATACACTTACACACACATACACACAAATACACACACTTACTTACACGTATACACACACACTTTGTTACACACAAATACACACTTACACATATATACACACATATACACACAAATACACACAAATACATACACTTATTTACACATATACACACTTACTTACACATAAACCCACACACACACTTACACACACTAACACACCATTCATACTAAGAAATGGTGAAGTGTCTTGCTCAAGGATACAACAGAACCACATCTACAGATGAGATAAATTGTATTGATCCATTGCGAGGGAAATTCATTCTTTGCATTTGACCCATTCTTCACCCACTGGAGCCCCTGTCAGGAGCAGAGGCCCATCTCCAGACCTTGAGCTTGTCTTGGTCTCGACATCAGCTGGAGGATTTGACCTGCAGGTTTGATGCTGATGGAGTAAAAAACAAACGCCTGGAGGAAACCCAGACACAGGGAGAGCATGCAAACTCCACACCAAGACCTGGTCAACCTAGAAGTCAAACCCAGAACCTTCTTGCTGTGACGTGAGAGAGCTGTTCCATCCAGATGGCTGCCACACGCTCCAGGGCAGCTGTGGCTATAAAAGTGACTGGCTCCAGTGAGTATTTCATATAGTCTTCTATGTAGTGATTCTAACCTCAGATCAGGCTGAGGTTGGACCACAGACTGTATGAAGAAGTGGCCTGAGTGAGTGTGACGTCACCCACAGCCTTCAGCGCCAGTCAAATGAAGCTCATCAAGGCTTGGCAGGAGCCAAGCTCCATATTGTGAATAGGAATATATTTAGGGGCAAAACAGCGGAATAAAAACATTAGGATCATGTAGAGCGAGTTAATATGAATACTTTAACATCAAAATGACAAGACTCACAGCAGAAGTTAGAATTTAATGTTAATTGGAGCCAGACTCAGTGGAGCTGTAGACAGCACCATGCTCACTTCCTATGTGGAATGTGGTGACTAGCAGGTTAGCTATGTCCACTTACACCAGGGGTCTCCAACCTTTTACAAAACAAAAATACTACAGAGCTACTAGTTTTAACGGTCACAAGAAATCCACAGGGAGCCTTAAATAAAATACAGGTAGATTATGGTGACCAGACGTCCCTGTTTACCCGGGACAGTCCCAGGTTTGAGCCTGTCTCAGCAGATTTAAACAAAACCAGTGATTTGTCCCAGTTTTATACAAGAAATGTCCCAGGTGTCCCTATTTTTGACCAATTTGATCCCTGCCAGCAGTAAAGAGAGACATAAACTGTCATTTGTTTAAGTAAAATACAGAAAAGCTGCTTAAAAACGACCAGGACACAAAGAAAATGTGACTAGTCATGAATCCTTAATTCCGCCCTTGTTTCGTCATTTTATTATTACCAATGACCACAAACCAGGGCTGTTACAGTTTTTGATTTTGAAAAAGTTAGATGCTTAAAAAACAAACCATAATCCATTTATTAGTGCATAAAGTTAGACAACAAAATGACACATGTACAATGGTAAAGAGCACTGAATTTATCACATTTTACTTCAACACAATATGGTTAATTAAAAAATCCCTTGATGAGCTACATGGAAGGAGGTGGAGAGTTTCCTGTAGCTCCAGAGCTGCAGGTTGGACACTCCTGACTTCTTTGCTTCTAAGATCAGATGAGGTATTGATGAGGAGACGTGGCCACATGTCCATAGAGACGAGCAGGTGCCTTTCACCATCACAGACGTCCAGACCCCTGAACAAAAGGCCATAGACTCCCATACAGTGAGCCGCAGTAGTGTCACTTTCCTCTCGTGTTAAAGTAGTTGTGCTGTTGTGTTGATGAGTGGACTTAATGAGCCTGTCCAAGGTCACGCGGCGCTGTGGGGGTCTGCGGGCTCCACTGTCACTAATGCAGCCTGACAAGTGTCTTCTGACGGACACCGAGGGGTCACCATCAGACTAATCACACAACAACAAGGTCAGGTTTACACGCAACAGGGCGCCCCCTAATGGATCCACTGTCTGAAATGTTATTTACAGAGGTCGCTGTGGCCAAAAAAGTTAGAGGGAAAAAAGATTTGGCCAAACAATTACTGAAGAGTGATTGTCTGGACGTAACATCTGACTTTTGGGAGGTGACCTGCATGATTCCATAGAAATAGAAAGTTAAAACCACACTTTGGAACATTCTCTATGGTGTGTGTGTATGTTTTTTGTTAAGTTGAATCTACGCTCCACAGTGAGAGCGCCCCCTAATGCATCAACTGGAAAGAAATGTTATTTACAGGTGTTTATATTGCTCAAAAATACAATAATTCCTTCTCCACAAATCTGACCTGTAATGTAGCATAATAAAAAAGTTACTCAAGTAGATATACTTAAATGCAAATGAGTACTTCC